TTTACTATAGATAATTGCATTTCTACTATCTCTAATTTTCATACGAGATTTTGTTATTTTAATTTGATCCATACAAAAGAATGATTAAATAAATCTAAATTTTTAAAGAATATCATACATATTTCGATTAGTAAGATATCTCATGTGATAATTATCGCCGGTCTTTTTTTTTCGAAAGTGTTGTATCTTAGTGTACTGTATCACAAGAGATGAAAATTTTTCAAGTCTGATAAAACTGATAGGATTCAATCGTTTTCGATGGTCTTTGATAATTTTGATGCATCTGAGCTGTCTGTACTAGTCATATAGTTTAAATCTGTTGTAGTTGTGAAATAAATTTTTATTAGTAAAATATATTCTGCAACTGTTTTCTTCTTGATTAATTTGATTTCCAGTAGATAACATTCTCTATAATTGTATATAGGTGAAATTGACAGTAGTAAGTACTCTTGTCGGTAATGCGAACAAATGTGCGATATGGAATAAGTAATATTTCCATTTGTTTGAATTAAAATAAGGCAATGAGATAATAAATCTATCCTGAATATAATTGATTTTTATTGAAAAATATTGTTGAAATATTAAACATCATCTAAACTTTATTTTTCTGTTCTTTTTCAAGAAGATCACCATGAGTTCGGATATTTCGAAAAATTTTTGTCACTAAAAGGAATGAGATTTTAATGAATCGATATCAAGATAGTTGCTGAGGTACTTTCATTTTAAAATGTTTTCCGAGTGCAGAAAAATGAGTGATTTTTGATCAGATTCTTTATACTCAAAGATCTAGATGAATCCAATAAATCTCAAAATACTTCATTCGGATTCTCTATGTTTGAAAATATTTAGATAATTTTTCTCTAGCAGATAACTTATATACAATAGTAAATTTTTGCACTTGTTATAAAAATAAAATCATTGCTATTCTTCAATTTATTTATTTAGAAAACTTGGTTTGGATGTAATTGAGTTACCTGCTGATGAAACATTACCTGAAGGAGTTTTTGTTGAAGATACAGCTGTCGTTTGCGATGGTATTGCACTTATATGTCGACCTGGTTTACCTGGCCGACTTAAAGAAGTAATATTTATAATAAAATTTTCAAAGATAAAATTTTTAATTTTAGGTTGATATTATTCGAACAATACTTAGACGAGAAGGTCTTTGTATAGTTGATATTAAAGATCCATTAGCAACTATTGATGGAGGTGATGTTCTTTTCACTGGTACTTTTTTTTCTTTTTATTAATTCAAATTGAATAGAAATTTTCTATTGATTATTTAGGTCGTGAATTTTTTGTTGGTTTATCAAAGACTACAAATTTAGCTGGAGCTAAAGCAGTTGCATCTGCATTTCCTGAATATCCAGTAACTTTACTTCGAGTATTATTATTATAATTATTCTTATTTTCAATATTACTTAAATTTTGTTTTTGATATAAACTAATTAGGTTAAGAAAGGTGCACATTTGAAAAATTTTGTTTCAATGGTTGGAATGGATACAATGGCTATTGGTGGATCCGATATAGCTAAAGATCTTCTTCGAGTAAGAATATTTGATTTTTATTTTGAAAATAAATAAAACAAAATGTATTTAAATTCTTATTTATCTTTAGCAAATGGAAGAAATGAGTGAATATAAATCATATAAAACAATAACATTACGTGATGATGCTGCAGCTAATTGTTTATGGATTAATGAAACTATTCTTCATTTACCTGCTGATCATCGATATGAAGAAAGTATTCGAGTAATTATTTTATTTTATTTGTATATAATAATATAATTATTCTATTAGATTTTAACAAATCGACTTGGTTCAACAGTGTCTCATAGTGAATTATTAAATAGTGAATTTGCCAAAATTGATTGTGTTCTTTCCAATCGATGTCTTCTTTTTAATCGACCAAAAGAATATAACAATAATGATCGATAAAAGCATTTTTGATAAAAGTCATTTTATTTGATAATATAAATTCTAGTCATTTTTATTATTATTTTGTCAGTTAGTCACATTCCAGTTATTCATTTTTTCTGTTCTCTACAACGAGCCTTATATTGTTTAATAAATAAATAATTATATATTTTGATTGATATGAAATTTTTCGTTGATTAAATAATGTTCTACTTTCTCAATCATTGGATCAAAGATGGTATTGTCGAGAAGAATGTAGTATTCATGAACAGCTTCATACTCACGAGCAAGTCTTTCAGCATACATTTTCTTAACGGGAGTAATAAAAGAATGGAATTGTTGATAGGATGGATTTTTATTGTTGTTGACTTGAAAGATTGAATTTGACAAAGAAATTACATAGAAGTGATAACTACAACGAGACATATCCTCGTTAAAATGTATAGTGATAGCAAAAAGTACTAAATATTGTTATGTTCTTCAAGTATACCTGTTACTCACTGCTTATACCTCCAAAAAAAAACTCAGTTTTTACACTGTTCAAATTATTATTATGAATAAACTTGATTATACATTGACAAACAAGCAAAAACATTTTTACTGCCTCATCAATAGTGAAGAATATTGTTTTTGTTCAAAAATTTGAATTTTCTGTTTGATTGAGTTAATTTCAAAAAGATATGGATGCATCAATCATGCGAGTGTATTCACACTGTTAGGATACAGCATTTAATAGCCCGTTTGTACCTTTTAATTCGCAAAAATTCGATCTCATATAATGCAAAGTAACACCGATATCTGGATGTCCTTCCGCAAAACATTTTTGTTACTCGATAAAAGCTCATTCAAATGTTTTACGGGATAATTAATGATTCCTATAATAATAGGCGTGTCTCATGAGAAAACCATCTTGAGAATGGCTGAGTGCATCGAGTTGTCCTATGGATCTTAATGGTTTCTTGACACGCTCTTTCCTTTTGTCTCTAGAAAGTTTTCTTCAAAATACTTGGAAGTACGGTTTCTAGAAAATCGTGGTTTTTTAGGTATCGTACCCGGAAAAAATACGTTTTTGAAAAAAATGAGATTTAGAAAAAAACTTTTGAGTGTGATATTCAGATTCAGCATGGAAAGAAGAACATTTTTAAAAAAATTCAAGTCTCTAACACAAAACCTAGACGTGTCAATTGGTTTTCAAATTTTAAAAACTTCATTTTTCCTAAATTTGGAATAACTCAAGATGAATAGATGATATAATGCTGATTCAAATGCCAATCGATAGAGAATTTAAAACTGAACAAACGTAAATGTTTAACAATATTCACATATCAGGAGACATTGGTTTTCTGTAGTATGTTTAGAAAATTCTTTCTCTAATTTAGCGTATATTCTAATTTTTTTGAGTTTTAAACTTCATTATTCAGCTTTTTATGGTTTCTACAATTATAAAAGAATTAGAATATGATAGTTGACTACTGAAAATGCTTTTTACATTTATATGAACGTACTTTAGTCCAGTTTGTGCGCATGCTATAAAGTCATAATGAAGTTTCCTTTCTTTTTATTTATACAGATGATGTCTAGTCTGCTAACGTCTTCTTCTCTCGATTTCTTTGTATAAATGGACGTGCACAGTCATTTTACTCTATTTATAACTTTTGTGTCATTCATTTCTTACTTCATAATAAGACGTGAGTATTTGTTGTGTTTTATATTATGCCTTCTAGTTGTATAGTTGTTGGTTGTCCGAAAAAGTTCGGTCATGTGGGCAAAGAGCGACGTAAAGTTTCATTCTTTCGCCTGTCAACTGATCCTATAATATTGAAAAAATAGTGTGATATTTTGTCTGTCAACATTAATGATCTTAGTGTGACACATCATCTAAGCATTGTCCAGACAGCATCTGTGTAAACAAAAAAACGAGAAATATTATCATGGCCTTATTAGCATGCGCGCAAATTGGACTAAAGTACGTTCATATAAATGTAAAAAGCATTTTCAGTAGTCAACTATCATATTCTAATTCTTTTATGATTGTAGAAACCATAAAAAACTCAATAATGAAGTTCAAAAACTCAAAAAAATTGGAATATACGCTAAGTTAGAGAAAGAGTTTTCTAAAGATACTACAGAAAACCAATGTCTCCTGGTATATGAATATTGTCAAACACCTACATTTGTTCAGTTTTAAATTCTCTATCGATTAGCGTTTGAATCAGCATTATATCATCTATCCATCTTGAGTTATTCCAAATTTAGGAAAAATGAAGTTTTTAAAATTTGAAAACCAATTGACAAGTCTAGGTTTTGTGTTAGAGACTTGAATTTTTTTTAAAATGTTCTTCTTTCCATGCTGAATCTGAATATCACACTCAAAAGTTTTTTCTAAATCTCATTTTTTTCAAAAACGTATTTTTCCCGGGTACGATACCTAAAAAACCACGATTTTCTAGAAACCGTACTTCCGAGCATTTTGAAGAAAACTTTCTAGAAACAAAAGGAAAGAGCGTGTCAAGAAACCTTTAAGATCCATAGGACAACTCGACACATTCAGCCATTCTCAAGATGATTTTCTCATGGAACACGCCTATGGAAGAATGATCCTTGATTTCGTCGAGCAATTTCAACTTCAACAATGAAAATGATTTGCATCGCCATGTTCGAGTTCAGTTCGATGCATTGTAAATACATCGTATTTTAAAATTTCAAAAGTCTTGCCAAGATAGATTCTTGAAGTATTTATGTTTCACCTGCAAGAAGACCAACAATGAATTTAGAGGAAACAATGGCGATGGTTACACCTTTAAAAATTCTTTAATTCAAAAGGAAACAAAGTTTTTCGTTTTTTTTTATAGTTAAAATGATTATAGAAACATAGAAATCATGCAAACCAATGCGGATAGCGCTAGAATACAATTTTCTAGTTACTGCACACTAGAAATTTAAGTTAACGAGAAAAATCATAAGGAGAAGTAAGAAACAATAACAACAAATTTGAAATATATATATATATATATTCTATAACACTAGAATTCAACCGAAGCATAACAACTCGAAAGACACTTTCCTGTGTGATTAATCAATGCTATTTAATCTTTGTTATAATTCCTTCTTCAATATGTAGAATTTGATCAAAGTTGAGTAAATGTGCTCGTTCAGTGTGTAACGTTAGAATAAGAATACCCTTGGATCGATACCATTTCATAATATTGTCAATAATGTTCACTGTCGTCTCAGCAGGTAAACCTTGATCAGGTTCATCAAGAATAAGTAGAGAAGCATGGCGATGATGAGCACGATACAAGGCACGTGCCAATAATAATCGTGTCTTTTGTCCACCACTAAGTTTATTTTCCATTGCTTCATCTAGATCTCCATTGAATTCATTTTGAACAAAATCATCAATTTGAACGAGACGAAGAAATTCCCATACGAGTGAATCGAGTTCTGACGTTCTCTTTTGTTTCACTTCATCTTCGTCAATATCAGTGATCATACTGTAGATAGTCGATCGATAATCCATGTCACTATCTTGTAAAACCATTGTTCGACACTTTTCAATTGAATGAAGAGTCATTGATTCTTGTCTGTTGTCAATGTTTATCTTAGCCGAATAATCCTTTACGGGTATTGAACCATTTAAAATATCATAGAAAGTCGATTTACCTAGAATAATATTTGCCATTATATCAGCAAATTTCTAAAAGATGATTATACAATGAGAAAACCTTACCTGCTCCACTTTTTCCCGTAATTAATATGGCTTCTCCCATTTTGAATGTTAATAAACCATGAAATTGTAAATGGAATGCTTCTCGTTTACCTTCATATCGAAATGAAAGATCTCGAATTTGTAATTCCGAACTCAAATCTATTTGTTCGGCATTAATTCGTTCATCATACTCTTCAAGTATTGGTTTAACAAGATCGTAGTCTTTTATCACTCTTAAATAAGTTATATAGGAAATTAGAAACGTATGAATCGTGTCAGTCAAGGTCGATAAGTAATGATACAATGGAATGATAAATGTACTAGTTCCATTCAATAAGTAGTATACAACAATATTTATAAATGTACATGTTTTACCGAGTATATCTTCTTTGAATGATAATTTAGCATAAAGATAATCAAGTAAAAACCATTCTTTTTCCATATCAATCCTTAATTCATTTGTAATATTGATAATTTTGTCTTTTTCATGATGAATGACATATTCGAACATGTTTGCATTTGCGCGTGAATATTTTGAATGTAATTTATCAAATTTTTCAATCATTTTCAATTTAACAGCAAGTAATTCATTACTCTTCTTGTTTAGATAAAGTCTATAGAAATAGAAATAAACAATACCGATAAATACAGTTGCAATAGGACATATATAAAATATGGTTATCACTGTCATAATAAATTTTGAAACTTGTCTCAATTGCTCAATCATGTCTTCGACAAGAAATTGAACAGAAGACGAAGCTTCTTCGATCTTTCGTCGAACTTCCACTTGATCAGATAATTTAATCTTGATCCAATTAGTACTTAGTATTCGTTGATTCAATTTTGTTTGAAATTGTTTTAAAAAATCAAGTACAAACGTCTTCTTTGCTAGATTCTGTTTGAGTAAGCAGTAAGATGTGACATTTTCAAATATGATTAGTAAAATGAGATATTTCAAACCTTGAGTGACATTTATTGTAATGGTAGAGAAAAAGTACACATTCAAATAAGTAGTTAATATCATTGAACTGACACCCAGTATGAACCATTGAATTAAATTAAATGGTTTTACAACAATTATTATATCGAAGATTATTTTGTGCAATGCCCATGGAGATGAACTCGAGAAGAAAATCGGCCACGTTTTTGTCATTAGAACTATTTTAAGATTCTTTCGAAAAATTATTTCTATTTAAATATCTCACTTGCTACTAAATGATATGATGAAAGAAAAACAAGTATTGCGAAACATAGGCACATGCTTAAAGAATGATTTCGCAAGAACAGTATTTTTATTGAAGTAGTGACGCTTATCTCTCAAAATATTTGCCATGAGTCAATACTGTAATGCAATTACCTGTGTGGAGGTGTAATTTGATATCGTTATCTGTTAATTTCTTTTTTTAATTTCTCGAATCTTATTCTTTTTTTTTCTATTATCTTATTTTATTGTGAATTTCAGCATGGCACCATAAACTATTAATATTAAAAAGAAAAATGCAATAACCTATTTTGGCCTGGCAGATAAGATATATGGATTAGTGTTCTGATATCTCTTTTCTGTATTTATTTCGTTTTTAAATATCAGAAAATGTTTTCAATAGTCTTCACGATAATTAAACTGTTTTAAACAATTGTTATTTTTCTCAATGAAGCTTCGAAAAATACTTTTTAAGTCTCTCAGGAGACGTAGATCTGAACTTCTATGCAATATATTCTGTAAAAGAAAAGTGATATCCATCGTTACGAGACTTTTGTATTCGATAATGACATAAATCCACATAACTCGAAAGATCTTGGATGTTGTATGAGTATCTAACTGACCTTTCATTTGCTTATGAGTGCATCATTATTGGAATGTGACGTTTGTTTTCTCTTGTGTCGTTCAAAGACACAATCAATAAGAATGTTCACTACATCTTCGATAAAATGCGAAAAGTTTTGGCCGATTGAGTATCCCTGTCATGCATGTAAAGTATATTGCGACAAAAGAAAGTATTTGCAACTTTTTCCAACGCCAATTTCGTTCTAGCTCGATATCAGCAAAGAAACGTTGTGCAACTCCGACAGCAATACATAAAAATGTTCCTCTATTTTTCAACAGAGATTTCAACTACGAATGCTCTACTTCGAAAACCTGTTGACTAAGTGATTTTTCATAAACGTTCGAAGTCCTAGAAGATTCTGATAGTGTTCAAAGACTAATTTTTATTTCAATGGAGTTGTCGTAAATTTATCAGGAGTTCACTGATGCTTTCTAAAAGTCTAAAAACTCTTATAGAAAAATGGCACGTGTTTAATTGAAATTGGTAAAGTTTTAAAAGAATGCTCAGTCTTATAGATGTCTCTAGCGGTTTCACAGAATCTAACGCCAAAATTTGGATGTAGAAATGAAGACTACTAATTGAGAAAGGATCTGTAGAATTTCTCTTTAGTTAAAACAAATTTTTTGAACGAGACTTTTTTTCGAATGATTTTTATTTCTTCTTAGAAATTGTTGCTCTCACATATTTTTATAGGTTGTCGCTTATGGAAAGAAGATAAGATCCTATTTTTTAACACTGTAGAGAAAACTCAAAAAAACTTTCCGAGTCAAAAATGAAAAGTTCATACATAGATAGGCTTTTCTTCCTATCCTTCCAATTACTTTATACGACCCATTTCGTTGAAGTCGACGTGTCTAATAATCGTACAGCTAAATTTTTCTTAACTTACTTCACTCGATTTCGAATACCATCGATGCATCAGTTATAAATTTGGGATTCATATATGGATTAAGATAATTCGCTTGACTTCTTCCGTTTTTCTGCCAAAACAAAGGAGCTCATTGTATCTTTCTAATTCGATGAACTCTTTCGCTTTCATTCATTATAGTTACACAAAAGTGTCACACATTTTCTGAGTAATGTTGAGCAATTGCACAAAAATCTCTATGAACAATTGAAAGTTTCGTTTCTTTTTTACTCTTTCAAGTCATATTCAACCTATATTGATAACATATGAGTGTTGTCGAATTTATAGTACTATTGCGCCAGTAAGTTTTAGTTTTCTTCGGACGAAACTGTATGCCCCTTTTTCTCCTCTTTTTTTTACAAAGTGTTGGTACGATGCCAGAATATTTCGAGACATCCTTGAAAATGTAACAATAAAACTACAACTCTCTACGTGAATATGTAGTTGTCTAATAGAGAATTACTTTTTTGTCGACTGTTGGCTATTGATGTTGAAAAAAAGAAAAGAAAAGACGCAAATAAGTAATAGTGTGTTGATCATCAGTCTCTTGTCATGCTCTCGTGTTCTGTTTTCTTTTCATTAATTTCATTTGTTTGTGCGCCTGTACTTTGTACTCGTTAAGTAGGAAATCTAATTCGCAACGTTTGAAGCGATACATTCTCCATTTTGTTGTTTTTTTCGAAGAAAGAAAAGTAACTTCTTTTTTTTTAATTTCTGTTTTAATTTGCAATTTTTCTAGTTGAATAGGATTGTATTATTGAAAAACTAGCCTTCGATTCTACTTCAACTTGAAAAGAATTATAATTGAACGTATAACGTAAGTTGTGACAAAATTCTGTGTCGATCTTTTATAGCTTAAATTTGTCAAGGAATAATTTACGATTTCCATTCGATACATTTCAAATATAATTCAACAACATATAAAAAATACAGGTTTTCTTTTGGTGTTTCCTAGAAAATAAATAAAAAAATTTTATGTTCATGCTTTTTTTCTTCATAAAGTTAACTCAAAACATTGATAAATTTTGATCTAGTATATCTGAATGGATATTGTCAAAAATCCATTTATGCTTCATATAATGTAAGGAAACTCTATCGAATATTAGTTTAGGTAACTCGAAGAAAAAAATAATATCCATCAGCTCATGTTAGCTATGTATCAACAAAAGATCATTCCATAACAACTTATCTCATTCAATTTGATGCATTAATATAAGTTTTATGTAATTTTTTTTAGTTTTTGATAAACAAAATAAAGTAACTCATACATTGCTTCAATTGGAAGTTGCGAAGACACCATTTTTTCTATGGATTTTTGAGACAAAACTGGAATAGTAACACGCTCATTTAAAAACTTTACTCGCATTCGAAGCTCTTATATTAAAACATATATCATGTAGATAAAATCAAATATTCTAAATGTATTGCCAATTCGATCAAAATTGAATTAGATCTTTTCTTTGAAGTCTCTAGATGAAGAAATCTAACATTTTTCCTAGACTAGTCTACAAGAGTTGTTAGCTGATGTTACGACAACCGTACTGTTCTGTGAGTCTTTAGATCGATAGACGCTCAGGAAGACTTTTATTTTCTTCGTTGGTCGTATGTTTTCCGTATTTCTATCGATCATACTGAAGGTGGGCGTACGAGTGATGATGAATAAAAAGTGAATTTAAAAAGAAACATACTTAAAAAGTTTGAACAATGACTCTTGTGAATATTTTGATTTCCAATATACAAAGATTACTCATACAATAATTTGGGACAATGTGTTTTCATGCTGTACACATAATACTTATAATCATTTTTTATACCAGTGTCCGACATGAGGTCGCCCCAATCAACGTGATGTAACCCGAGCTCGGGTTACATCACGTTGATTGACGCGACCTTATGTCGGACACTGATGCAAATATAAAGGTCAAGAAAATTAATTAGACTTGTGAAGACGTTCGTTATATTATAGAGAATATTTTTTGATGAAAAACTAAGAAAGATTTAGATAAAAACTATTCTTTAGACAACTTTCAACGTCAACATAGTCATATATAAATTAAATATTTAATAACAGAACAGCCTTGTCATTCATTGGCCAAGAGTTAACTAATCTTTGTCAGTCAGCAATAATTTATTTTTCAAGTCGTCTTCTTTTATCTAACCTTTTTATTTAGTTAATATATACATCTCTGCTGATCTTTGTTTCAGATTTTTCATCTATATACTTATGAATTTTGATGCCGTCTCTTATTAGATATTATGAGTGTGGAAGTGTATAGTGAATGTCGTATTCAACTGAGTCCAATCAATGGTAAAAATATAGATTTCAATCGATGTATCATAGAATTGCGTCAATACGATATTGGTGATTATGCTTTACGAGCTATTGATATGAATAATGATAAATCAGTAAGAATGGATTATGGACTAAATATAATTTATTATTGTTGGTTCTATAGGAAATTTTTACTTGTCCTCTTATTCGCCGTAATCAATATATATTTGCACCATCGGTCAATGAACCTGATATACTCAATATAACAAATAGTACATATCGATTATGGTTAAATAAAAACTCACGTGATGAATTTCATAAAATACTGCGAACATGTCTTGAAGAATTTCTAATTGTTAAAGATAATGATATTAATCTTTCATCACAACAGCAGAATCAACAAAGATCAAAAACATTGTTAAATGAACTATGTACACAAGAAGATGAGCCTTATTATCGGAATGAGGAGCCATTTGATTGTATTACTTGTATGGAGACAATTGAGAAAGATGAAGGAATCTTATTCCATAATTGTCTTCATCCATTTTGTAAACCATGTCTTTTAAGAATGATTGAAACTAGCACAGAACCAATAATTAAATGTCCACATGACAATTGTACTGCACTTATTACAGAACGAGAACTTCGAGGTGTAAGAATTAAACATATTTGTTGAGAATTTTCTCAAGGTTGTCCTATATTTCAGGTAGCTAAAGATTTAAAAACTGATCAAAAAGTAATCGGCCGGCTGAATGATATTGGTGTACGTTTTGCTGAAAGTCGTAATAAAACATTTCATTGTATTACACCTGATTGTACTCATTGGTGGTTCATAGAACCAGAAGAAGCTAACAATATGATATTTTGTAATGTAATTATTTTCTTTTGTCATAAAGAGAAATATTTTCAAATGTTGAGGATAAGCATAAAAATAAGAATGAATCTTCCATTCTTTTTCTAACAGTATATAAAAAACTTAACATTATTTCATTGTATAGTTTAAGTCAAAGATGAATTCTTTTTAAATTTCTTTTGAGAATTCATCAATTCATTTGTCATAGGGTTGTAAACGCTGGATTTGCATAACGTGTTCGGCAATACACGAAGGTCAAACCTGTAAGTGTAAACAGTTTGAAACAAGTCTATTCATTTATTTCCTATGTAGGTCGTGAATATCAAGATGCAAAGTTGCGAGAGATGAATGATGGTAATGTTCGTAAAGATGAAGAACAATTAGAGGTAAACAGAAAAATAAAATCATAAAATTTATAACTTGTTTTTTTTTTGGTTTTGTATAAAGGCAATGATTAAAAATAAAGAAGTTATGTATTGGTATGAATTATTTCGTATCAAATAAATTTACAGTGCTCATTAGAATGTAACATTTTGTTTTGTTCATTAGTCCTGGTTGTCGTATTATAATCCAAAAAATATCTGGTTGTGATTGGATTCAATGTAGTCAATGCAAAATAGAAATTTGCGTTAGTTAAATTATCGTTGTCTGTAACATTGTACAATTTTTTTGTTTATTCTTTTGATTAGTGGCCAACACAAGGTCCTCGTTGGGGTCCGAAAGGACACGGTGATACGTCAGGAGGCTGTCGATGTCGTGTTGATAATGGCAAACTTTGTGTACCAAATTGTCAAAACTGTCATTAACAGATTATTTCCGTCTAATAAAACTTAGTCATGTTCATTTTTTACTATTTTTAATCAAGGTTTCTATTGGATATAGTCGATTTGAAAATGATTAATCAATATTATAATACTGATAATAAATTCCAAAATACCTTTAAGTAAATAAAATAATACTTAATCAAGATTACTCATAATGATTGCATTATAGAAATATTTCGATTCACATATGACAATAAAACTAATTGCTATAAATATCCAATACACGGCATATTTATAATTAACAATATCATCTTTAAAATCGTAAAGATATTCATTTTCTCTATAAACATTTCGTCAGAGTTAAAATTATTAGAAATCAAAACAATATATCTTTGTCTTAACGCATAATCGACTACATGCACTTTGCCATTTTTATTCCAAATTATGCACGTTTGAGTACTTTCAATCAAAGACCTTATCTTTAGATCAAAGTCGACATTCTTTCGTTTATTACTTACGAAGGAACTATCCTAACTGATACTCTCTGTTTAACCTCATACTGAGTTCACAAGGAGGTCTCGATAAGACTAGAAAAATCCTAAACAAGATTCGTACCCATGGGACTCTGGAATCAAGTTATGATTATTTTACTGTATTTTCGATCCAACTTTAAGTATTTACCGAAAAATTAAATAACGATATTTCGATCTGAAATTTCGCTCGTAAACAAATCAAATGACTAGTGGAATATCTTGAAAGTGTCAGCCGAGAGAGTATTTCGTTGTCGAGATAACAATGGAACATTTTTTCCTACTGAAACTTTTAGGATATTCCTAGAGTCATCAGACTTATCTATTGGCAACATTTTAGGTCGAAATACCGCTGTTTGATTTTTCGGTAAATACTTAAAATAATGTGTCCCCAATGAAAAAATCAAGAATTTATAATTGGTTTCTCAAAATATTCGTATTTGATTTTTGCTTCAGGGATACGTTATTTTAAGAAAAAACCGATTTTTTTTATAAAGTTTAATCAAAGGTTTTCGGAGTCGAGGAATCCGAATCCGTTCTCGATTTTTCAAAATACTGAGTTTGACGTGAGGGACTAGCAGCTCCTTTTCCTCATACACCAATACCAGTCAATACCAATTGGTATTGTTACATCCCTAATTGTCAATATGGGTGAGGGTGTCTTCACTGTACTCGAAATAGTTTTCAGTAAATAAATGCAAGTCAAGACTTAAATGCACAGGGTGATAGAGAATTCCGAGCGCTATCAAAATATATAATTACTTTCCTTAAAATGTAGTTTTACATTAGCAATATAATTCCACTGATTCAAATGTGCAGAACTTATGTTTCAACCTAATAAAAACAAATTTCAATAATCGATTTTGACATTACGAAAGTAATTTCACACTATCAAATTAAAGTAAAATAGATTCATCAGTGATTCATGTAAAAGGTAACATTTTGATTAGCACTAAAGAAAACATGTCTTTAATTTAAATTTTCATAAGAAATAATCACCATTTGTAAAATCTTTCAGATTTAACTGAAATACTATAGGGATTTTCATTTTAGTTTATGCAGTCAAAGAGTGATTACAAGTGAATACTTATCATTTGAAAAAAAATAATAACTGAAAACTTCCCAATAATGAGCATCTCTATAAACTGAGCAATTTCAGTCAGTCCCGATGATGCTCACATTATAGAGGTTCTACTCTATTTTCAAATATAAATATTTGGTTGTGTGCGGCAAAAAATTTAAAGCTGAGAATTTGACAAATTTATAAATAATTGTTTTTGAAATATTAGACAAAAATGTTATTCACTATTTGATCTATTAGATTTGCTCTTTTTTTTTTCTATTTTTCATTGTTAATCTATGTAAGAATTTATTTTATGAAGGACTCGAAATGTGTTGAGTATCTTAGATTTGAACTTCAAGCAGATTTGATCTAATTAAACATCCGTTTAACTTATTCGTTCAACTACTGACTTGTTGTCTAACAATACACCTAAAACGAAATGTGATGGCAAAGTTTAGTTCATTCTCAGTCTTTATGCTGATTCCGACTATCATATTAATTTTGACTAAAACTGAATTTTTCTTAATCGAAATCTTGTAAATATTGTCTAAAAAGACACAAAACTGCATCTTGAGAATAGTATGCTTAGGAACTTTTTAAAGTGACCTGATTTTTTTGACTTTAGATAATATATGACTTTGCAACTCCTTACAAGGAATATCAAATGAGCAATATAAAAACTTTGATCATTTCAATTTTTCAACTGAAATATTTGTTGAAAGATAAAGATAGATGATAAATACAGCATATATACTAATGGTGTCTACCAGTACATTAAACCTCTATCTCGTTAAATTACACAATCAATTGGTGATTTATACATGGGATCGAAGCCTAATCAAACAATTATCCAGTTCATAATTTCATTAGTATTTTGTATTGTCTACATATTCTTAAATTGAATCCATCGTGATAGAATGGATTATTAATTACGATAATGACAAAACATATATTACTTTGTTGATAACTTTTTGGTTTCAAAAAGTTAATCAAAACCTCATGAGAGTAGTACAAAAACGTTAGTCTCAATATACTCTTTCTATTGACATATGATTCAATGAAATTGGCCAAGAAAATTACTAAGAAGCCGATTTGACCTCTTGTACCGTCTCCTTCGATATGGTTTTTACCTTCTATACATTCAAATCCAATATTATTCAAAATTGAATCTTAAAATTTCGTTAAATAGTTCGAAAATTTATTATTGTTATTTTTCATATAGGACATTTCACATTTTCTTTGATAAAACTTTGGTGTGGATCGAATGATTTATTAACGAAAATGTCATGTCATGTATTTTCTTTTCACTATTATGTTGGTATTTATTTTTTCATCTATTTTTTTCCTGTACATACAATGAACATAAACAATTAAATAGCTCATCTTTATTGAAGATAGTGCAGAAAAAGAAGGATCATATTGTGTATAAGAAAAACAATCGTGTTAGTGGAATAAATAATTGAATTTAAATTCTAATCTTAATCGATAATATTTATTCTTGTTTGTTTACTTATTGTTCCTTCAATTGATTAGAATCATATTTATCAAAATAGATTAATTTCTATTATTTCAATTTATTATAAAATCGAATTCTAACATTTTGAACAAAATCTACATTCTTAGATATAAAAATTTAGTTTAGAAATAGAAAATTTCTCTTTAAATTGATTTTGTGCTTGACAAATATATGTATAAGTGTTCAAAATCAATTAATTTCGCTGATGTTTTTCAATATATAATTTTGTCCTACTTGATCATCATGTGATAGATTCATTATAGTTTGCCTGAAATAAACAAAAGGTATTGTATACTTTTAATCAGGACATCAAATTGTATTAGCTATCGAATGTTTTCATATTTCTCTATTATAATTTCAAATTAAAAACAAAGCCTTATATTAATTGAGAAGTACAATGTCAAAAGAAAATATCAGTAGGTTATTTTCGAAAATGAATTCTTTCATCATTGCACGATTGAAAGACAATGTTTTATTACAAAAAAATTGAATATTAGTTATTACAGGAAAAAAAAAAAGAAAACAATAAAATCCGCCTACAAATTTTTTTTTTTATTATTTTCAATCAACCAGCATACAATCATAGCAATGCATGTGCATTATTTATAAGTCCGTTGTCAAATAAGAAAATGAAACATATGAAACCATAGTTGTTCTATGCAATTAAAAAGTTCCTTCGACACAATACTTTATTGAATTATTATTTTGTATGTGTTCAAATAAATAACACACAATACAGTCAACTGTTGTTTTATTTCAAAAGAAAAAAAAAAAAAAGAACAATACATTAAAGCATGTAAGTGAATATCGTGTCTTTTTTAAATAAATTACATATTCTTACTTTATATTTAGGGCTATAGCACCTGCTCGTGTTCAAACTCAACAACCACAATCTTATTTTCGTCCAATAAATAATAGTTTTAACCTATTACCTAGTGAAAAAGTCTATCGTGAATGGGAATATCGTGATAATCTAGGTTGTTGTAATAATGCATATTATACTGCCCTGACGGATATTCGACTTCTTACTCGATATGAAGAACATATGTGTTGTGCAAATTGTTCTGAACCTTCACATACAGATTCGGCTATTTTCTTACGTGATATTGATCAAATGCGTGAATCACGTGGTGAACAACCAACTTTTTTCTTTCTTCTTTGGATAACATTAATATGTGCATGGCCTTGTTATGTTGTACGTCGTATCTTTTGTCCAAAACCAAAATGTTTGGAAATTTTCGGTTCATTTGGTTCTGAAATGGTACGAATTAAAAGAGAAGATATGCCAGTAGCTCAAGTCGATATATCAACAGCTGTTATAAATACCAAAATGGTTGGTCGATCTTAATGAATCAATTCACCACCTTTGACTTTTGTTTTTATTTATAGTTTACAAAAAACAAAAAAAAAATTTAACAGTTTTTATCGCAAACTTAAAAGTAACTTAATTAACAGAAAATATATTGAAAACAATTATGCGATGATTGATGTCAAAATTAATTCATGTGAAAAGTTTTCAGATGCTAGTATTTACTGCGTATACTTATAAGCAAATTATTTGTCGAATGTAATATTGACAGCAGTGTTCAAAGAATGAGATATTGAAATTGTTATTTCAATTTCTCTTATAACTCTCTAATTATAGAAATTTAGAATAATATTTGCTCGCTAGTATATTCTCTGTATTTATCAATATAGTTTAAGGCAATGTGAAGAACAGAAAATGGAAGATTTTGACTTTTTTTAGAAAGTCTACAAGTGTAGAATAGTCACAAGTCAATATTTCAGATTTTTCGAAATTCTTTAAAGTTTTTGATAATAATTTCTTATTCATTTAGAGATTTCTATTTTCTAAATGTTGATCTACTCATTCTATGATAAAGACAATATTAACACATTGAACACGAACCGATCCAGTAGGTGAATGGTGCAG